ATATTATATATCAAACACATTATTATTTTTACATTATTTTATACATATTTACGTATTATATTAAATTACGTATCATTATTATTATACTACTGTGGTCATGCGTATAATGTTAGACATTACGTCAATAGTAAAATGAACATTCAATTTAGACAATAACGATATTAAAAGTAGGTAATGAAAGAATGTAATCGTTCTTGGAAATTTCGGCATTATTGCCGATTATTTTAATAGTTTATATATGTAATAGATAATAATACTATAACACGTAAATTGTATTATGAAACATAAAATATTGTTTCGTTATTGAGAGTGACTACTACGTTATAGAGAAAGAATTGACTAATGGGTTGTATAGCAAACCAACCATTATTGTGTAACGTTTACGTTATATAGAGTTTTTCGTTGTAAAGAGTTTCGTTATAAAGAGTTTTCACTGTATTTTATTGAATTTGAATTGAGTAATTTGAATTAAATCAAATATTTATCCACCTTATTATGACAATAAAATAAAATGTATTAAGCAGGCCCAAAGTGTGTTGCAGAGTATTATCCTGTCTAAAAATTAAATTGTAAAACTAAAAAAAAATATATACTGGTGGCTTCCTTATTTTACTAAAGACATTGGAAAACCTTATTTCGCCAGTTGAAGATGTTTCGGAACCACTGCTCTAAAGAACCAAATATCATAGTTGTAAAATACCATTAAATTACACTTTTACATATTAAATTAGAATTCATTGATTATTCATAATAAATCAAGTCATTCTGAAGTTTATTTTATTCACAAATAAATAATTATAAATTTAATGACTTATGTATTATGTTCTTTTTAGATCGAAGAATGGTATGAAAGAGCAAAGAGAATGGACGAACTAACTGAACAAGTTAATGAGCTATTCCAAAGACTGACATTTAGTGCCAACAGAGAACTTGTTCATGACCTATATCCTTATGTTTGGGATGTTAGATGTGTTATATCATTACTAAACTTCTATGTAAAATGGCTTTGTAAGTAAATAAATGTCTAGTAGCTTATAATATTTTGATATATTTATATTTACTCAATTCTAGCTGAAGGCCATTTCCCACAATCAATCACAAATTATACTCTTGGGTCTTATACATGTAAGTACATTTTAATATAAATTAGCTCAAAGTAGTTTATATTTCTTCTTTATTAGTAATTTGTTTTATCTTTAATAGAACTCAATATTGGTCAAATAAAACCAACAACTAGTGTTTTCACTGTAAGTTGTAATAGTTAATCCTGTATAATATTGTTAATATTCTTAACCAAGATTGCCTAAAAACTTTTAACTACCTATATGATTGCTTATGTTTTTTTGTTTGCCTTTATTTTATTCTCCATGGGATATAATTTTTTTATTGTTGCTTGTTAAAATTTTAGATGATTTTAAATGTCCAATAGTTGTTGGCTTGTATTGAACCAGATTGGGCTTTCTATATAATATTGTATTTGTCTATTTTTAGCAATTTATTAAAACGGGATGATTAAATCGTAATAATCATACATTTTGATGAATAAATCTAATTAAATTGAATGTAATTTCTACATATTGTTTTTCATGTTTCAATATAATTCTGTTTCATTAGTAATAATAATTAAAAACATTTATAAATACTGAAATTCTAGGGTTTTCAAAAGGATGGAAAGAAAGCTTTATGAGTGGTGACCAAGAACCCTGGGTTTTTAGAGGTGGTTTAGTTGCTGATTTACAAGTAAGTTGAACATTGTTTGTTTAATGTTTTTGTGTATGACTTAAGTAAATAATGTTAAACACATTTTTATTGAAATATTGAAATATTTGTATACATTTAAATACATTGATTAAATTGGACATAAAACAGTTTTAATAATATATTATTTTAAGTTGCTTTAAATTTACTATAAAATTAATACAAATATTAAACATACAAAATTAAACTTTTGATTTTCCATAAAATTAATATTTAAAGATAATGTAATCAAAAGAGTAACTTCATAATTTTCTAAATATTATAATATAAGTTGTATTTATTATGTATTTGTATTTATAGTATAATAATATGCTTTGCTTAAGACATACTAACTCATAATTATGCATCAGTTTGTGTTTAATTAATAACATTTTTTAATTTGTTTTCATTTCTTTAAATAAGTATACTTTTATATTTTCAGCGGTTAATGCCAGTTGATGCTGGTTCTGATTTATTTATATATAAGCCTCCTGATACACCTACAAATAAAATGTACAATGTACGACCATATACTTTTGAAGACGAGTCTGCTGTATACAATATTTGCCGGTGTACATGTTATACAAGCATTGACGACCATAGTATAAACAAATCTGATTTACCTGACTTAATACCTGATAGGTAATGTTTCATTTAGTTAAAAAAAAAAAAAAAATTATATTAAAATAATTACATGTTTTTTAGACTTGTTGGTTCATATTTAACACTTAGTCCAGAACTTTGTTTTGTCGTAGAAGACAATGGCACGGTCATAGGTTATGCGTTAGCTGCTTTAAATGCAAAAGAATTTTATCAAAATTTACAAGTATCGTGGTTTTCTGAAATGTGTTCAAAATATCCATTGGATAATTCCACTGACGAAATACAGTCAGCTTCGCAAGTGAGTTACCATTAGAAATATTTGTTTACTATACAACATTAAGTCTTATCCCTAAGGTGATTGATCTGAATCCTTGAATAATGTAGGTGCTCAAGTATTTTATTCATTTATTGTAACTTCTATATTTTTATAATATATATTTTTTTTTTTTTATATTATTATAATACATTTTTAATGCCCTATTTTGTATTTGTTAAACATAAGTAATGTTCTAAGTAGAAAGTCTATTGCAAAAGGCTTTACAATTAAAAAAATACCTGTATACATTTTCTATTAGCAGAAATTATTTTTGTTTAATTCATAATTTCCAGAAAATATTTAGTCCTATGCTGTTTTATCACAATCTATTTTGTCCTATAAAGTTAAGGTCAAAATACACTCGAGTCCAATATATTTTACATCCAATTTTTTAAGTCCAAAATACATTATTACGAAATCATTGTATATCTTAAGAGTATGTCAGCTCATCATTCATTTTCTCTTTCAGGCCCATGGGCAACATAGCAAATTTATGTTTAACAGAACCAACCCTTTGTTATTACTTTTAATATTAGAGCGAATTCACCTTTTATCAAACTTTAAGCTAAGAACAATATCTGTGTCTAAAATTAAATTAACAAAATTTAAAAAAATTACATGATGATTGATCACACTTCTGATATTATCAGACTTTAAGTTAAGAACATTACTGGTGTCCCTACGTTGGATTTTTTACAATATTTTAATATTTATACAATTTATAAGCATTTTTAAATTGTAATAATTTACATGCTCATAACTTAAAATTTAAATTTAAAATATCATAAAATAGCCAATGTAGGGACACCGGTAATGTTCTTAGCTTAAAGTTTGGTAAAAGCAGAACTTCGATCAATCAATCATGTAATTTTTTAAATCTGTTCATTTAATTTTACCCACATAATAGGATTGGAGAGTGTCCATTCTGATTTCATCTATTGTGTGGTTGTTGTAGAGACAATAAAAAAAAAAAAAAGGGTGTGCTGGTAATATATTGAATTCAAACGCCGATTGCCTGGTCCACGTCACCCTATTACAATATTTATTTACTATTTTTTCTTTTAGTAATAGCTAAATTGTATAACTTGTGAACATAGGTCTGTAACTTAAAAATCAAAAATTTAATATGTTTATGTATTTTATAGGAAATCATAAATTGGTTTCATTCGTTCAATATTAATCAAGAATTGCCAGATTCCAATGCTCTGTCTCAACATCAATCAGTTATGACCTATGCAACATTACCTGTGAACAATGATGCATCAGTATCCAAACGATTAATTATTTGTCTTCTAGCAGCGTTAAGAGCTAATGGTATTTTTATAAAAATTTATAATTGCTTTATTATTTTTAAAATTAACACATTTGGTGTATTTTATTGTAATACTTTATAATATTTTAATATTATAGGGTCATTCGGTGTCCATGTACCTTTGAGAACTAAAGATCAACAAACATTGGAATTTTACACAAAAATGGGATTTATGGAAATTTCGCAAGGGTCTAACCTAAATCCTGGTTTTACATACTTAGGACGTGTTTTTTGAATTATTCTTCCGTCTTACATTGCTGCCAATAAATGTTAAATATATGAATGAAAATGCATACATGGTGATACCATTATAGTAATAATTTTTAATTTATTGATGTTAAATACATTATTATACTTGTTATTACTAATTTCAGTAAATGCTTATACACAAAATAGTCCAGTTTAGGTTACCTAAGTTATTTGAAGGAAATTTAAATTATCACGAGCTTGAAATTTTTTTTTTATTTTTTCAAATTGATTTGTAAGCGTTAACATAACACATTTGATAATTTTATAGATTGTCTGTCATTTTTTTCATTATTTAATATTTTAGTTATTTTAAGGTCTTATTACATTTTGTATGTTGTTTTGTATGAAAATAAAATAAAGTAAATTTTTTTGTATGTCACTACATTTTAAGGATTAAATATTGATTTTATTGTGTATTTTCTGTCAAACATGATTTATTCATATCAAGTATACATATTATTTATTTATACTATCTTAAATTAATTTTAACAAAAAACTTATTTCCTTATCATCCTTAATATTTTTGCTGATGTCATTTTTTTTGATTTGGTCATTACTACTGACCTGTTTATTATGACAAGTACTATGTGTCAACCTTGCCAATTTAAAATATTTTGTACATTTTCTTTTCTTTGTTAACAGAATAATAGTTTAAATTAGTTAAATCTTCATAAAAGTACATCATTTTAGTTGGAATTCTCTTGTTGCATGTTTACTAGTGTAGTATAGTAACACAAGGCTTAAGAGTTGTGCCAAAAAGAAATTTAGAACTCACTATTAAGAATGTCATCTTCAAGTGTTTATCAATCCTTCCGTCGAATTAATATAATATCTCGAATATTTGGTGTCATGCCGCTAAAAATGGTACCAGGTGACCAGATAGGTGGTCCTATTTGTTTAATATCTACATTTGATTATGTGTATTCAGTTGTTTTACTTATTGTATCCATTGCACATGGGATATTGGCCCCGTTTTTTGTGTTGCATACAATCATGCCGTATGCATATGAACACTCAATGTTTTCAGTGGCATCAGATGTGCGACAACCCATCAATGCGAGTGAATCAGAAGTTGACGAAGATGAAATCAGCGAAATGGCTACTGTCATGAAAATTCTTAATCCGATTATGATATCCTTGTCTAGTATTTGTAGCAGATTAGTCGCACTCACATTTCTCCACCGCAGGTTTAGTGAATTTATTACTGTTTTGCACAACACTGATAGACTGATGGATGTCACCATCAAGTTGCATGTTTCCACTGCAAGCAAGACGTTCCTACAAACCATCGACAAGTATCTGTTATGATATTTTGCCCTCATTGGCGTTCCAGTGAATATTTTTTATATATATACCGTGTCAGCCGCAAACAGCAAGGCTGGTATTATATGGTGTGTCATACTTGCATTCAATAATATGGCCTGTTTTAGCACAGACATGCAGTTTATCCGTTGTGCATGCATGTTGCACTACCGTTTTAGAGTCATTAACAACCAGCTTGAGACATTTGCATCCATATGGAATTTCAAACGTGGGTTAGTGTACCTATTTTAATGATACATTTTAGATTTTTTTAATTTTGATATTTTGACTAAAAATCATCGACTAGAGATTATTTTTTTATGAATTTGTGTGTTGTTACTTGTAAAAAAGAAACATCTATTTAAAGTTTACCGTGTAGGTGCTATATAAAACTATAAACTATTGGTACTTGATCACCTTTTGGCTCTTGATTAACATTAAATATTTATATAAGAAGATACCTACCTAACTTTATAGTCGTATTTTGTATCACGATTTCTGGAAAACGGGTTATTCAACTATACCTGATAATTTATTAGTTATTACCTATATTATAATAGTAGGCACTAAGTAGTAAAGTACCTACCTATTCACTAGGTATCGACATATAACTTTATAGGTAGATCATGCATCGTGTCATAATTAAGAACGGTTAAATATAAAACAATTTTTTCAGTGCTCTGGTTGAAAGAAAATCTTGCCAATCGTTTTTGAGTGAACTTTCATATGGCCACAACATATGCGATTCCATCGAAATGTATAGGTAAGTCGTACGTACATTCTGACATTAAACATACCTACCTAATAGCATTGATTATAATATAATATACAATATACTTATACGATTTATACTCGATGCCAATAGCCAATAGGTTGGTTAGATTACATTAAATTTATTTGAAATAATTATTGAATACCTACTAAACTGATTAAATTATATTCAATTCCTATTCCACCATACCAGCGTTTCTCAACTTATGGGCCATCAAAAAATTAATAATTAATTGAAGACTTTTAGTTATGGTAGTTAAGGGGGCATAGCCACCCATTTTTCGCATAGAACATATTATTTTCAAAAATATTGCAAGAATAATTGGGTAAATATGTCATCTACATACAATGGTTGAAAACCACTAAAGGTACAACAGTACCTATACGTCTGTACACATTATAGTTATCATCTGGTATTTAACTACATTGGTACAAACTATGTATCAATTGTAAAAGGTAAACACAAATACTCACATTCCACCGAATAGGTATTAAAGTAGGTACTAATATATTGAAAAGGCTAATACCTATCTATATACCTATTTAAATACATTATTCTTGGCATAGATTATACGTTTATTTTTTTTTTATGAGTTTACAATAATATGTAGTATAGATGTATAGTGTGGTGCTTACAAGTTATAACCTACGTATTATAGATATATAGCGATACAGACATATTATTGTGCGTTCACAACTGTGTATGTTAATAATAAATTCATTAAATCCCGGATTAAGGTCACGTACGTAAATGGCTCATGAAATAGTGTTGTCAGCTAAATATTTTAATTAAATGGCCATTATTTGAATATTTTTTAGTGGAGAATATTACATTTTAAAATAGGTAACTAAGATAAGGAAAAAATCTTGTATAAATAATACCTATGTTCCAGTACTTAGTAGGTACCATATAGTACCTATCTATTGTGTAAATGCCAGACCGTTTTTTCGACTATTGTCTTCTTTTAATAGATTCATATTATTTTTTCCCCCCGGAAGGCGGAAGATGACTACACAGAATAGAGAAATATGACTATATATAGTGTCGACTCGACGACAACCACAGTTAAATAATTGTTATTGTATCGAATACTTTTATCATTATTCAATTAAATTAATAAAATAAAATAAATTAATAATTAATAGTATTTATTTATTATTGGTTGCTATTAGTTTATCGGGCAGATCAGATGCAACTATGCATCAAATCGAATTTTGGCACATTGCCTACCAGGGTGGCTGCGAGTTGCACTTATTGCGCAGTGAGTTACACCAAAAAGAAGTTGAACTATCACAATTTTTTTGTCATTTTTTAAGGCCCACGAAGTGCTCAGGATCAGCTATATTATATGTAAATTAATGTTTGTGTGCAGATCTCTGGGAAGAAAATAGGCTAATTTGAAAAGAGTTAAATTTGGTTTTTTCTATTCATCGGATTTTAGTACGGTTAGGTTAGGTTAGGATTATGTATTAATTGATTATATTAATTCACCGTATTATGTCAAAATAAACTTGGTATAACTTTAATACTTTAGAGTTAAATCATACACTTACGTTCAAATAGCACTGGGTCCGCGATCTATTCGTAGGTTTCCTACCTGATAATATACTACTGCGAATCAGAATTTTTATTTCAGGCAACAGAAAAGTTAAGATACATTTTGAACACCATACACCGATTATTAAATAACGAATTTAACAAAGTTTGAGTTACCCATATAGAGTTGGTATACATATTTTAACGGGCAACGAAGTGCACAGGATCAGCTAGTAATATATATGTGTACGATTACTTAAATACTATATAAACAAAAATAAAAATATATAAAGGTACCGATAGTATTATGGTGGGACACAAAGACACCTTAGCCAAGCAGAGAAGAATAAAAAATAATTAAAATAAATAAATATTTTAAAGCTTCCAAAAATTACCAACTGGATTTTCGCGTGGAAGATGGAACTTTGTTTCTGCATGCGTTATTTAGTTAGTTAGGTATTAACCATGGACGTAAATAGGGTCTTCAAATGTATAGGGCTTGAGCCCAAAAAGTTTCAAGAACAAAAATATTGGGAGATTTGTGTTCCGCCCACTACTTACTTACACACAATTATATCTACGATGCTGATACAATTCAAGACTATCACAAATTAAATGTAAAATAAATTTTTGAATTATTGTAAAAAATCACAAAGTTGTATACAGTCATACCTAATATATAATATATATATATATTACAAATTATAATATTATACATAATTATTACATTGTAATTGCATCCTTCTTTCCTTCTCGGAAAACTTGTTTAAAATTTGTTCATTATCAATTTGGTTAGATAATTCTCTTTCTATAGGTATTTATAAATTTATAATACTTAAATCGGTATATCTATAACTTGTTCAATGTTGGACCTTTGATAAGTATTTATTCTTCTCATAGAGGAAAAATATCTCTCACATGTTGCCGAGCTTATAGGTACAGCTAATGAATCATATGAAATAATAGACTTAAGTTGTTCATCATGTTTTTTACTGTTGTCAACAGCGCCGGCGGAAGGGCAGGGCAGAAGGGGCATCTGCCCAGGGCCCCGCCATTTTGGGGCCCCGCGCCTGCATGTATGGTATTTGATAATTTTGTAAGACCACAATTTTGTTTTTCAATTTAAAAATACAAGTCTCGTCTGGCCGTCTGTAGTTGCAGCTTGTGGGTTTTTCATATAATAAACGAGTGAGAGTAAAAATAAATTAGGTATTAAAAAAAAACCGACGTGTTAGTAGAAGTTAATACAATAAGCAAAAGTCTTCAGAGCCCGAACATGGATTTAGATATTTCAGCTAGTATGTTAAATGGGCTACTCTCATTTTTAAATGACTATAGAAATACTGGATTTAAATCTGCAAAAACAACTGCTAAAGATTTGGCAGAGGCTATAGGAGTTTCTGCTGATTTAAAAAAAATCCGTATACGAAATAAAAAAAAAACGTTTTCGTATGAAACTCAAGATGAACCATCTAAAAATGAGGAAACTATTTTTTATCAAGATTATTTTTTAACTATTGTTGATCAAGCTATCGTTTCTATGAATATGAGATTTTCACAGCTTGAATCGTTTAATAATAACTTTGGTTTTTTATATCGGATTAGCAAATTAAAATTCATGGAAAAAGAAGAGTTAAGAAAATGTTGCTATGATCTACAAAACGGTCTAACTGATGGTGAATTAAAAGATATAGATGGTTATGAACTGTATGAAGAATTACTTATTTTTTGTACTATAATTTCTGAAGAAACGACAGCTTTTCAAGCTCTTTTAGTACTAAAAAAATGTTGTGGTTCTTTTCCAAATATTTCGATAACACTCCGAATAATACTCTTAATTCCTGTAATATCAGCTGGTGCGGAAAGGAGTTTTTCCAAATTGAAAATAATTAAAAACTATTTAAGGAGTACTTTATCACAGTGTAAACTTACAAGCTTAGCTACTCTATCGATTGAACAACAAATTACCGACTCATTAGATTTTAGTGAGCTGATTGCAATTTTTGCTGCAGCCAAAGCTAGAAAAAAAACAATTTGGAAATTTTAAAATCTTGAGTTTTTTTTTAATTTTTGTGTAAAACTTGTATTTAGTGTACTTTAGTGCAGTTCACATAAACATTTAACTTGTACATATTTTATTTTTATATGAAAAATGTATCCAATAAATTAGGTGTATAAGCAAAATAATATTTGTAGCTTTATGTTTTAACTGTTTTAAGAAATAAATACATATTTACAAGTGAACGTTTTATACAATGTTTAATTGAGTACATGAAAAAAAATATGTATAGGTAAGTTATGTAAAACTGAAAAAAATTTCATACAAGTACTGAAGTACCTATAAGTAATAGGACTTGCGAAAATTTTTTTTTTTACATTACATTAGGACAGGGTCTATCAAAATAATCTGCCCCGGGCCCCGCAAAACCTCCCGCCGGCGCTGGTTGTCAACACTTCTATATTGTTCTATGATGAAAATGTACCCGGTGTCCCGGTAGTCGGTATCGGTATGTACATGCCAACCACGCATACGGCACACGTCCACGTGAAATAATATATATGTATATTGATGCGTTTGAGCGGCTGGCCTTTAAAATAACCATCAACTGATCATACGAAAACGTACCTAAATATTATTACTTTTATTATATTTATAGATATTATCATTGGTAATTTATATAATTAATATAATTAATATTATAAATTATATAATTCATTATAAAAAGGATAACCTAAATATTAAAATATTTTAGGAAGGGCTTAAGATGCCTCAGGGAGGGCTAAGCCCTCCTAAGCCCCCCCCTATTTACGTCCATGGTATTAACTATATAATTTAACATTTTGTGTGACGGATTTTAAAGTTACAGCTTAAAAATCACTAGGTATATTAAATTTCTACCAAACAATAAATTTAATTCATATCTATAATAAAGTATAATTTACCTATATATTTTTGTTTCTTAATTTTCATAAAAATTACTGACAAATAAAATATTTCTTTTTCTTAGATATTGTTATGGACAATTTTGCAACATGGTGTGCCAATTAAATTCTACGTATCAATTGCATCTTTTGGGATGCATTTCAGCATGTTTTTTAAAAATATTGTTCAATCTGTATTTTTCTATGTTTGGATACGTCATTGGCACTAATGGTCAAAGAGAACAAGATGAACTAATGCGAGCCATCTTATGGAATGTATTTTATGGAATGAGATTCTTGACCATAATTTATGTGGCTAATGCTACGAGCAAACAAGTAAGTTCCAGTAACCTAACCTAGTCAGTAACATGTAAACAGTAGTAGGTAGTAGGTACTATATAATCGGGTGTACGACATATTATATAACCGCATAGGCGGAAATCCTCTAACATTTCAGGGGGGCTAACATTATTAACATAAATATGAGTGGGGGGGGGGCTTCGATCCCACACAGCTAATTAAGGAGAGAGGCTTGTCGGCTTGACGGACTTTTGGAGGGGCTAATCCCCGTAAGCCCTTTTGATATCCACCTATGTATAACCGCGTAATAGGGCCGGTGCTAGTGATTTGTTTTTAATATATAGGCGAGATTAAATTTTTCCGCCCCTATAATTTGATCATTATGGTAAAAAATCTGCGGCCTAGAAATATCTATTAACATAGGTACCAATTTTTAAATACCTACTGACGATGTTAAGTAAGGGTGTATTTGGAAGTTCTTTTGAAGTTTATTTAGGGGCGTTGTGGACTTGTGGTGTTAAGCCCCTCCGATTAACTCCTTTATCCTGTAACCTTGTCTGTGGTTTGTAAACGGAGGAAAAATAAAAGGAAATCATATTTACATTTTTAAACTTTTAGAATACAAAAAAAAAACATTTATATATTTTTTTAAATAGTGGGAAAGTCGGTGACCGCTCTGTTTACAGCAGCTGTACACAACTGATTCAATGACGAGATACATTCGAGGTATATCTACTATATACACTAGATATACCACGATGTCATTGAATCACTGAATAACACAGTGTAATGGAAATTGATGTATTAAGTTTAAATCCAACGATTTATAGTGCCATTAGTCATTACACTCAACTAATTTTTATAATTTATTTAAGAAACATAGATATATGAAGAACATTGTAGATATTACATTTTAGTCCTTATAGATATGAATTCTGAAATACAAAAGATTCTAATGATTTTGATGAATTTCTTACAAATAGAAACCATCTATAAAATACCTACTAGACTTATAACAAAATTGAAAATTGTGACTATCTTCATTCGATATTTTCATTTTCTGAAAAAAACTACTTACGAGGAATATTTTATTAAATTTTAAACTCACAAACGAAAATTTAAAAAAATACTAAATAATGTCAAACATTTAAAATACCAATAAATATCAAAAAGTGTTAGTCGTATAATACTATAACTTCTATGAATATTTATTGAACATTTCAAGTCAGATACTGTTATTTATTTTTGAATTACAACAAAATAACAAATAATCCTTTTTTGTTAGTTTTGCTTTTTTGTACGGATTTACGTTTTCCTCCTTCCTTTCGTTTTCCCGATTATTTTGAGTAGTAGGTACTTACCGGGAAATTTTAATTTGGATGTCCCAAAAATACCAATCATCAACGAAATCCAATTTGCTATCAAAAACCACTTTCAGGGTAAGTTGAAAATCGAATTATTTTTTCTGTTTTAAAACATGTGTAGTCTGTAGGGACTTACGCATAATTTTAATATCAATATATAGTCATCGCTCCGCTCATTCTGCAAATCGAAAATTAAATGAAACTAAATTAATTACGATCAAACGGTGTGGGAGGTGTGAGCTAAAACAACTATGATAATATTACATTTATAATTAAAAGTATATTGAATACATTTGTTAATGTCTATTAAAGGATTAAAATTATATTAGAATAAATACAATTTGACTAAAATAACTACAGGTATCAGTGAAATTAATCATTAATAATTGAAAATGCGATCATTTGCCAATGTCTATGATTAATTTTGTTTAGATTTATCATTATTAATTATAAAATGCATTTTTAGTTATTTTACATAATAATATTATATTGACCATATTGGCATATTGTAAGTACATATAGACATATAGTAGATACCTACTATAGTATTAGTAGGTAGTAGTACAGTCTGACATCTGTCATATTTTAACTTTAGAACCCCCAAATCGATCGCTATTCATTACACGTTCGGGTTAGGTTTAGTATTTATATGGAATTTCGTATTGATGTCGATCAAAATATTGGTATAGAGGCGTATGGAGTTGAACGCGTCTGTTTATTATAATAAACGCGCACCTACCTAAACAAAATAAGTACAACACAAGTGATTCCATGGAATCGTTATTTAGTTTTCTTCCAAAAACTTTTTTTCTAAAAACGTACTTATACATATGTAAATAACTTAAATTATAACAATAGTCGTCATCGTATCGAGCAGTGGGTAGATTGGTATATTGTATGACATCTTGTATCTTGGAACCATTGAACCATAATAACAGTATGTAGGGTAATCTATATATTATAAAGCTTTAGGTATAGGTATGCCAACCGCGTGACTATGCCACTGTGGTTGCGATGTTTTCCGTGTAACAAAAAAAATATATTCCAATATCATTTTTCCGATAAATGTCAAATTATATTTTCAATCGTGATAATCATTACGTGTGTGTTCAACTTGATCAGTGCGCCGCTGGTCGAGCAGTGCATGGTGGACGACTGGTCTGACGTGTTGTCGACATTGTTGACGGTATTGCAGTCCAGGGTAGTGGCCATCGCTTCGGTTATATCCAGAGGAATCGTGTTGTACAACGCGTATTTTAACAAGTATCAAAAGTACAGGACGACGTTGGAGAGTTTTAGCATCTACTCGCCAATGACCGCCGCCGTTTGGAGCCGGTACAAATTGTATTCTGTCGTGACCGTATCGCTGTGTCTAACGTTCATGCTGCCGACGAACTTCGTAAAACTGTACAACATGTACTACAAACACCCCGACGGGTCCCTGTTGGTGACGCATTTCTTCTTCTTTTATTTACAAAATTTCAGTATGTACTTGATCGAAAACGATTTCGCCAATCGGTGTTTCGTGGTCTACGCCACGTTCCGAGACATTAACGATGATCTAAACAGGTTGAAAACCGAGCACATCGACCTCTGCAGATTTCCGTTCCTCGGGAAAGCTGCGGATGACCCGTGGTCGAATGCCGCACCTTCGTCGACATCGCGTGTCGTCGTTTACGACAAAGATTTTTACTGTCCGAGAGACAAGGCGAACCCGTTGACCAACATCGTCGAGATCTTGAAAATCAGACACTGGTTAACCCGCGAAGCCGTAGTCGACATAAACTATCTGTTCGGCAATCACTTGGGACTGTCAATACTCTCCTTGAGCGTTCTTGTGTTGTTGGACGTATATACCGGCGCGTTCCATTCGTTCGCTAATGACCGCGTGGATAAGAAAATATTTCGTTCGATGCTGTTATTCTTTGCTTGTGTATTGCAGTACTCGTATAGGTTCTGTGTAATTACTATCCTCTCAAATGTAACGACAAATCAGGTAAAGTAAGACTTGTTTTTACCTAAATAATAGGTCTGTAAATATTTTAATATGATGGATAGCCGATAGGTCACACTGTCGCGGTTGATAATAATGAATAATGATTAATGAAGGATGAGATACATTTGAGTTCGGAACATATTATAACTGCGTGGACCTCGGTCTAAAACTTACGAAAAAGAAAAAAAAAAGATTAGGCCTTCAATACCTACTAGTTTTTGTGATTTGTGTGTCAAATCACTCAAATTATGAAAAAAATCTAAATCTAAATATAAAAATTAAATTAAACTTAGTAGTCCTATAAAGAGTAAAATCATATATTTGACTGCATAATAATTCACTCACTGTTATGAAAAATTAATTTGATTAATTTGTATCAAGTAACGTCATTATTGTACTACAACCTGCATAGTAGGTAAGTAGGCTATGTTATAGTATTAGTAAGTACCGTAAAATTGGGTAACTTTGATAATTTTTTACTGTCTTATGACAATTTTACTTTTTATTTTATGGATAACTTCTGTAGTAAGATCAGGTGGGGTAACAGCGACGTGGTTCTGCAAAATCTCAGTTTAATGGAACACCTGCATCTTACTGTATTCTTACGTGGAACATAGTTTTTTTATCATCCATTAATGGACGTATCAGGAATTCAAATTTGTATTCAAAAAAGTGTTTTGATAATTTTTAGTTGAAAAAAAATTATTCAAAAAAAAAAAAGTGTCGCACCTTCCCTGCTACCGGGGTAAGTGCAAAATTGGTACTTTTAGTACAGTTTTATACAAGCTATTCCTTGGCCCGGAGCAAGTGCTATAAACTAATAAAAATCTTCAAAGACATTCCGTTGAAAGAATTCAATTTTTTAACAGATTTGACAGAACATCAGGATTTTAGGTTCTGAGGGGAACGATGAATGTATTGATTTTACAATGATGTGTGTTTTTTTTTATTTTTTTTCATTTTTTTTTGTGTCTGTGTACACGATAAGTAGTCGAAATAATGCTTCGATTTTCAACTCCAATATCTTGTTCGATTGGAAAGTGAATATCGTTGGTCCATTGGAGAGGTCAAACGTCAAAATTTAAAATTCACAGTGATTTTCAAAAGCGCCAAGAAAAACAAAAGAAAAATTAAGGAAAAACCGGAATTTTTACGCAAAATCAATTTTTCACAAAATTGAATTTGATTTTTGGTGTAACTTTAAACCAATGATCGTAGATACATGAAATTTTCACTGATTGTTTATATTTGCATTTTCTATACACGTGGCCACGTGGGTACTTAAACTTCTAAAGTACACTATTATATATCTATGAATCTATGATAGTATCAGGGTTTGTTGTTGATGTATAACGCGTTATATGTACCTAATGGATATTGTGATATGATTAGTTTGGAATTTATTATAGGTACCTATTATTGGTCAATTTTTTTTTTAATAGCATAGATAAGTACCTATATAATATTATGTCTTATAACTAGATTGACATACAGTCTCCGCTTAGAATCGTTTTTCTTTATTCATATTATATCATTGAATTCAAAATTAATACTTTCCATTATACAGTGACCCACCTGTAACCTACTGTACAGCAGAGCACCTTTTTTCATTTATAGTTAATACATATAACTCATATAAGTTTTTTTAAGTTTTGATTGATATAATGTTAACACATATTTAAAGTTTAATTGTCAACATATTTAAAGATGAATATTTGTAACTCATAAATATTTTAGTCACAAACAATGTTTATAAAATCTTTTAAACTATTTAACAAAATAAGACATGTCGTACTTGCCCCATAAATCATGTCACACATTCCCCGTGTCGAACTTTATTCGGGGGAAGTGCATAATCGGCTAATACTCATTTGTATCATACAATTAGCATAATTCATAAATGAAATAGTATTATAAATATAAAATAACATTTATTTACCTAATTTGAAATTATTTTGAGCAATTTAGGCGGGTTAACTAGACCATTGAATTATTTTTAAAAAATACGAGTAAATAACTGATTAGCTTTTTGGATAGTGATAACTGCTATGTTTAATATCCTAAAATGTACCTTACCATTATTGTACAACATTCGATTACTATTAAACTTCGTAATCTTCATGAAATCAAATTTAAAATTGAAAGATTGTATTTTTTATAACCCGATTAGAGCCCCGTTAGGCTCTTACCCCACTTGATTCAATAACTTTCAAAATTAAATATTAGTTACAGCTAGTTATGATCAATATTTTAACGTTTTTTAGATATCAATCTTTTTAATATGCTATCAAAGTTACACAATATAGTGGGAAACTTTGATACCTATATTTCTTAATGTGATGTCAAAGTAACCCCATTTTATGAAAAAAAAATTCATGATGGTACTCTGGTGAATAAAAATGCATGGGCATCAAAGTTATACCCCATTCTGCGGTACCAAACAAGAAAGTTGGGGATTCATTATTTTTTATCCGGGAGGGCTATGGAAATATTTGGGGGGAGACCAAGCACCCTAGTTGTGCCTGTGTACCTAAACCAAAATTGAAACCTTTAGTTTATTTTTATGTTAGATAATCACTACCTATACCGTCTACCACTACCCATAACTTATGAATTAATTATTTTATTCTAGGCGGTTAATGCAAAAACATTAATAACTGATATAAACAATAGGTATTTGGATACTAGTACACAGGAAGAGGTGAGGGTACATATTGTAAAAACATAATATAATTATTTTTCATTGTCAATTTTTATTAATGATAACCAATTAACCTTCTATAGCTTCAACTATTCTACGCTCAAATATCTAGTCGCTGCATTGAGTTCACTGCTTGTGATTTATTCACTTTGAATACACGTCTCATCACTTCAGTAAGTATACTTTTAATTTATGATATAAACGAGGAATGTATTTTTTTAAATTTATATGATCTGTTTGTGTTTTGTAGGCTATAGCTGCTGGTGCCACATATTTAGTTATTTTAGTGCAATTTCACTCTGGAAAAAATTGATTATATTAAAATTTTGCATACTCAATTATAATTGTGAAAACTTAAAAATATACTCGTTTGGTTAATGGTTTATGCAAACGAGCAAGATGTAATAAATAATATAGATTTTAATTTTTAGACAATATATATATTATGTTTACTACTATAACTTGGAAAGATATTATTTTATTAGTATCAACCTTTAGTATTTGATTCTTCGGAGATTTACAATTTTTTTTTAATTATTAGTACATATTCTATAGAAAATGGTACAGGCTACCATGCTACCGAATAATGGATGGTTATAGGTATACAATTTCAATATTTCATCCTTCATGATTAAACTGATTTTAGACCAAGTAGGCAAGTATAACTATTAACCTTCATGATTTAAGAACTAAATCGTGTCATTCACTATATCATATAAATTATAACTGTGTATTTTTTATACATACCTATACTTCCCAAAAAAGCAGTTCACTACTGCTACTTTTTTTAAATGTTTTTTATGCTATTATTAAGCTTCAACGCAATGTCGCTATTGTTTAAATGTAGTAAACTACATTTTATTTATCAATTTAAGTTACTTCAAGTTCTGACATGTTTAAATTAAAGGAAAAAATATCAAATATTTAAAAAAATTCAAAAGGCCCAAAATGGTGAAAACGAAAATAAAATATTTTATTGTTCTATACACTTATAGTCTTATTTAGTTATTTATATTATGCTTTTTATACATTTAAATATATTTGTATATAGAATTGAAGCATTTTTAGTGTTCCAAAAGGTGATGAGCGTAATTGACCGACTAAAAAAAAAACACACACAATGTCATTGTAAAATCAATAGGTACATTCATCTCTGAAAAAAATGATAACATAAATATTGTCAATGTCAAATAAATTATAAAGAACGCCCCTATGGCAATTTTTCAACAGTTTTATACTGATTATTATTGTGACACGTTCGGCCACAAAACGATATTTTTTACATGGGAATTGGGAGAACGATCGGATATACACACTACACACGTTTGAGTTCAAACTTTTTCAGACGTCACCAAAAAAAAGTTTCAAACTAATATCACGTCTGAGTACCAATACGTTTGGGTAATGTACTAATGTCAGTAATATTCACATTGGTTCATGATTCGTCTGTTAAGTATAAAAAAATGAATCAAACAAACTGCCAAATATTTAACTAAGATACTTATTGACTGATTGGATGAATAAAGAAATCTGTACAGTCATATATTATATTGATGATGCAGCCATGCAGGCTTAATAAAGATTGTAGTATATTCGTAGTCACGTGTACCTTTCATTCTATATGTGTACAAACGGCAAACGCTGGGTCTATTTGTATCCAAACGTGCTTTTGGTCGATGTGGCCAAACGTTCAACGCCCAAAATAATACGGTAAATGGCATTCCCCATTGCCCCCCATCCCCCTATGGCAACGCCACTGAGCTACTCAATTGTATTCTCTACAAATAAATAGTAGCACGCTCCAACTGTTGTAACTCGTAGTGTCGCTACCATTAGGATACTACTCCCGACCACTGGGTATAAATAAATGGTAAATACTGAAATATAGATATATAGGCGTGTATACTAATATGTACGTCAAACTTTTCCTTTTAAAACTGATAAAAATCTGAACCCTAAAATTAATTGGGCCCTTTCCTAAAAATACCGTAAGAATATACAATTTTCTATAGTCTGTTCATTTTAAGAAGCGATTCGGCGGCCACTAGTAAAACCGGTTTTCAAGCGTAAATCAGGTCGCTTCTTATTTTGAACAGGGTATAGTAGGTAACTTAAAAAAAATAATTTCAACAATCAAAAATTATTGGGTTTTTACTCGCGTTAGAGGTGAAACTACCTAATATAAGAGGAATAAGACATTTTTAGGCTAATAAACAGATGAAAAATTGAAACAAAACAAACAAATCCCACTTCCCACTTTTTTCCCGGGTTGGGCATGTATAACAAGTTACGTAACTCGGTTACTACTTAATTTTGTAACTTGCAACTTATAAGCCATTCATGTTGTTGTATTCTTTCATTACCAAATTTACTCATTGTATATATAAAATTACAGATTGTAAATATTCTATTTTATCTAATAAAAAAAAATAAACTTGCAACTTATAACTAGTAACATATTTTCCTGTAACTTTTTATAATAGTTACAAGTTACAATTAAAAGTTACTTTGTGCTTTGATAAATTCGACTGCAAAAGCAAAAGCAAAAACGTTTAATTCGGCCATTTTGGTTTTCACAATTAATCTAGGCAGTGGTTTTACAATTAATTTCTCAACATGCCAACTTACTATTTACCATGACGTACAGTTAATAATATATAAACAAGAGAAAAAATAAATATTTAGCTATATAGGTATGGAATAACTATGCATACCTACCTACGTACATTTTCCCTCATTAGTACACGTTGTTCAGTGTTCTGTGTACATTATATTCTTATTATCACTTCTTATAACTAGTAAGAAAAGTGTTTTTCTCAAGTATACATTAAAAAGCAGAGAAAAAATTGTTATTATATACTCGTCAATTTAATCGTCGACGTACTTGAAGTATTAACAGAATGTACGATGTGTCGATGTGTTATGTGTATATACAACTACAGTCGAGTGTTTCAAACGACGGTCAAAAACGAAAACAATAATATAGCCTGTATGACATAGGTATAATATAATATATTATATCTATATAAACATCGGGTTAGGTGTGTCTTTATAATTATGTTTCGCTGTTTACACTGCACAACCATTACAAATTTACAATACTGACCGTAACGTCGATGGGGTAATCACTAGTTATATAATAGGTAAACCAAATCGTTTTATATTGGTAATATATTATTATTTAGGTCTTGGGGCTGCAGCAGACGCTTCTAAGTATGTTATAGTTGCAGTAAATATAAAATATTATTATAATTTACTAAAATATATTATAATATAGGTTTTATAGGTATACCTACGCGATGTGGCTGATCCGGGCGTTTTGGAGACTGTGCGGAGTGTTCACCATGGATCTGTCGTACAACAAGTTTCAAAACGCGTACTCCGCACTGCTGATAGCCACTTGCATATACAATTTCGTGAACGCGTCGCAGGTCATATGCAAATTGGATCACTGGTGCTCCACGTTTTCGTCGACGCTGACGGCCGTGTACGACAGGGTGTTGACGTCCGCCGTGTTCTTCTCCCGGATCGCGGTCGTGTACGAATGTAAGCCGAACATGTCCAGGTACCAAGCGACCATCAGAGCGTTCGAGGCGTACTCGCCACCGTCGGCCACGGAACTCCGGCGGCACAGGGCGTTTTCGCTGGCCGTGGTCGCCACGTGTCTGGCCGTCATCTTGCCGACCAACACGATCTGCATGTACTACTTGTGCCGCTACGAGCCCAACTCGGATGCGTCGCTGTTCGCCTACCAGCTGTTCATGTACGTCCAGAACCTGAGCATGTGCTGCATCGAGACGCAGTTTGTCGTGCAGTGTTTCAAGGTCTACACCAAGTTTCACGGCATCAACGACGATCTGAAGAGGCTGAAGGACGAAAACCTCAACCGCTCCGAGTACCCGTTTATGTCGTCCGCCGGTTCGTCGTCACCGTCGCCGTCGCGGTCTGCCGTCGTGTACGACAAAGACTTTTATCGTCCACGGTTCATGAGCCACCCGACGGCCAACACGGTCGAGTTGCTCAGGATCAAACACTGGCTGATCCGATTGTCGATTGATGCGCTCAACAACCTGTTCGGCGTGCACATGGGACTGTCTGTGTGCTATCTGTGGCTCATGGCCTTGTTTGATATTTATTACGAAATGTTCTACAACTCTCGGTCGGGACTGCTGGTCTACTGTTGGCTGCTACAATACATGCTGAGGCTGTTATTGATCATATTGATGGCGCACTTCACGACGAAACAGGTACATACTGCTAATGTAATCTCTCTATCTTTCTCTTGTTCGATATATTATATTATGTACAACACTTGTAACTTGTAACATGTAATATATGTTTACGATATAGGTAGATGTAGGTATTACCTTATATAATATCTTAAAACTTAATTCCTTTATACAATTATTATGTGCAGGCACTCGAAGCGAAGTCACTTATCACGGATACCAATAACGGAAGTATGGATAGTAGTACCAAAGAAGAGGTACCTAATACTATAGTTACCTATATCTATATGCTATACTTACTAATAAGCAACACATGTGGGTGCAAAGCAAGGTTTATAGATTATAATAAAATTATAGGTAGTATTATCTATTTAATGAACCTTGGGTGCAGTGTCCTCTTAAATCTAATAATAAAGAATGAAATAAAAATAAATTATTTATTCCACAATTTTTTTTTGTATCATTTGTATACTATTACCTATATATACATACAGGCATACATCTCAGGGACACTCACAGATAAATTGCTCACTAGGTGCAAAATACTATATACTTGTATATTTTATTATTTATTTGATGTAAGTCCAAATTATTAAAACAATTTTCTCAGGTGGTGCCCCCTCTCCGAACGTCCCTGAAACAGCTGGGGTTTCATAGTTTTTGTCAGGCGTTAATGCGTCATTAACTTTTCTTTAAATTAATATTTGAAAATTATGGTTTTGAAAAACGATTGAAATATTTGTTATGCAATTAATACAATTTATAGTATTTTTTGGTTTACCTGAATTTGAAATAAAAAATAAAAATCAGAACCTAAGATGATTATTTTTGCATTGGCTGTAATACAGATAAACAACCTGTTAACATATTATTATAACTGTATTATTAAGATTTAAGGTATATTATATTATACATTGTTGTTATTTAATTTTTTTATTTCAGTTACAGTTATTCATAAATCAAATATATAGTTCCACAATAGAATTTAATGCGTACGATTTCTTCACGTTGAATACACAAGTTATAAAATCTGTAAGTGACTTGTCAAAAAAACTGCAATATATTTCTTCAATTTAAATTATAATCAACAAGTAATTTAGTAATAATATTATAGTAATTGTTTTGTACGTAAATACGCTAAATATAAATACTAAAAATGAATACTTCATTACTGCATTATAATATATATGGTATATACTAATTATATAACATTTACTGTTTTATAGAACATTTAATTATTTGTTATGTAGGCTATTGCTGCTGGTGCTACATGTCTTGTTATTTTGGTCCAATTTCACTCTGAGAGAAATTGAATTCATTTCCAATCAAGATATCTACATATTATTTAATAAACACAAAATTCACGTTACAGCAAAATATACGCAACTACCTACTATTATATTTAAATTTAATCATGCAGAATCTTTTGTTTTCGTTCCTACGTCTTATGACTTATTTCCTTATCCGAAGAGTACCTACTGAGATATCTTCAGAAAGATAAGTAAGATCGTCACCATTAACATTAAGAGATACCTAAGCTTAACGTAAAATAATATCGAATACTTAATGTATTACGAAGTTACTTTTTTTCAACATCATTTAATTTACTAAAATGCACTTACTTTTTTGGGGAGGAATTTCTTGAGTTACATAAACCAAAATATGATTTTTACTCATAAGTCATAACAATGTATTTGAATGATGTAATTTTCTAATAATCGATCGTTAAGTTTTCTAACTCTTTAATTATTAATTTAAATTTAATTAATATATAAGGATGCAGAAGTTTTGTGTATAATAATAAATAATAATATATCCTATTATTTTTTTTTCTTATCCTCTTAATATTATTAATTTATTTTCGATGTTAGACTTATATTAGAACAACCTAGTATTATAAACTTAAAAATAAGAACTACACATCCAAGGCTACACAACACAAGCACTAGCTTAAATGAAGTATACAAGAAACAAGTATAACATTAATTAAATATTTGTAATTTATATTGCAATAAATAAATAAATAAATATACAAAATATATTAATTATTTAGTGTTTTTACATCTAAGCAGCCGCTTAACCCGTGGTAATAATAATTAACAATTAATTCCTAATAAGGCATTAAGGCGTAATAAGTAGTAATAAGTAAAGGTGGCATGATATAATAGATAGGTCATGAAATCTGGATTTAGTTCAAGGCGGTGAATGGCCATGCGTACTTATACAATTTATTGGTCCGGGACATTTTGATCCGCTGGAGACAAATTGATCCTTTGGGGGATATTTTGATCCGTTTTCTTTAAAAATAAATTGTTCTAAGGGGATCAAATTGTCCCCACCGGATCAAATTGTCCTCCGGGGACATTTTGATCCGTTCGGTAAAAAAATGAAATTATGATTTTTTTTTTTTATATTTTATCATCTATCATAATATTTACTACTTATTTATGTATATCTTTAAAGATTTCTTTTTTTCGTTGAATTATTATTATAAATTATAAATATATATATAAATAAATTATTATTGTTATAAATTATAAATATATAATTAAATATTATAGTACAATATTATATATTATATTATTAAATATATAAACAGTAAGATCCAACTAGGTATACGTATATTTGGCGTTTGTGTATGTCTATAATATAGGTATATTGCCCATTACAGGCGCATAGCCAGGGGGGTGTTGCAGGTTGCAGGTGTAGTGACACCCCCTCACTGGCGTCACTTTTTCCTGTTATACATAATATAAAGTTATGAAGGTAATGATTCATCATACACAGCGATGTACCTACACACATTAATTATCATTACGCAATATTTACATACCTACAACATATACATGATATGATACCTACTTATTATATATTATTATTAGGTATGTATAATATAGTATATGAGTGTACTTAAGAATGTTATCAGACATAAATTAACATAGGTTATAATAAGTTCTGTGCATAGCAAACTAGACGATTCTAGACTTCGTGGCTTTAACTGCCTAAAACTTATAAGTTATAAGTTTATAAATTATAATGGGAAATAACCTTAGTTCTGTTATATCTAGGGCTTGGAAGTTGTAGACGTTGCACATTATTCTATATGTTCTCGATGTATAGCAGACCAAGCTAGAAATCTGGGCTATAGCTATACCTACAATGGTCACCATTGAATGGTGAGTTTAAAAAGTGGGTAAGTAGATATCGATCTGCTGTACAGTAGGTTACAAGTGGGTCACTGTAATAGATGGTGTTAAATTTGAATTCTATGTTCGAAGCATTATTTCGACTACTTATCGTGTACCTACACAGACCCAAAAAAAAATAAAAAAAATCAATAAAAAAATAAAAAAAACACACATCATTGTAAAATCAATACATTCATCGTTCCACTCAGAATCTAAAATATCTTAGAGGTTTTAAGAAATTGTCTTCAAATTATCACATTTTATTATTTTATATAGTGATATTATTGGTATAGGTTCAGTTTCTATTTTATAATAGATCAATAGCCAATAGGTTACCTAAATCACATTTTTTTAAATTTAAATCCCGGTAGTCGAGTTTTTGGAAAGTACCTACCACAAAGGAGACTTATAATAATTCACATTGTAATTTAATAGAATGTCTATACATTTGCGGACCAGTTTCGTATAGTTAAATTTGGCATGTGAACTATGAATGAAATAGAAAACCAGAATAAGTACATTGCTGATCACAAAAATTTCTGTAAAAATACGTACGATTTACCAAAGACCGTTTAGGTAATTAGTATAGTATAAAAGTTCTATGGATTTATCATAGTAAATAATATATTTTATAATAATATCTATGGCAATCGTCAATTGTCGACATTCGTCGGCGACGATTAACAATTCTAATAATTTCAGTGAACAAAAAAATAATAAGCGATCAATATGTACGGACAGTTTGTTAGCACAAATTCGCACATTTCGTTATGGTCAGATTATTTTCATTAAATATTTCGATACTTTCAAGTTTCTGTTCTGAGCAAAATGATGATGGATGAAGATAGCCGTTTTTTCGGCGACGGCGGCACTCTAGCTAGATTTCACCGGAAGAGTCGATGTTTACGCGTAAGTTTGTTTTCATATTTTTGCTATTTTAGTATTTTACATTTACTTTAAGACTTAAATTAAATATTTATTGCCCCGGACAATCTGTTAACTGGGTGACGTAGAAGCATTTATAAGTTTAATCCTAAAAGCGCCATATATAAAATACGCGAGACCAAACAGTCCAAAGTCCGTTTTCGTTTCACTACTCCAAGTTTAATAAGTGCCTTTTTGCATAGGTATACTATAAGCCGGGTATCACCTTAGGTTTTGCGTGAAGTATTTAAAACAATATGTTATCAATCTTTATATTTTATATACATAAATACATTATAAACCTCTTGTATTTTATTAGCATATACTCACAAATTTTTTAGTGTAGTTTATACCCTATATGGCTAGATATTAAATGTTTTGCAATTATATATTTTACTATAATTATTATTTTCCATTATCATATAATATAACGATACACTTTAAATTAAATTAGTTGTTATCAAGACAGACAGTCTTAAGACAAACTCTTTTCTGGATGTTATCAAAACGGATTATGCTTAAAAAAATTGCACAGTTGTCGTAGCAGTCAGTTGCTAGATCAACCCGTCACCCGTGAGACATTAAATAATTTTTTCGAAAAATATATGTAATATGTATGGCTCATACAATTAAGAATTTATAGTTAATAGAAATGCGGATGTTTATACTTCATAGATATTTTTTTATTGAAATCTTGTAAATAATTGAATTAAACAATCGGGTACAAATCACTAGTATCAATTTTATTATATTACGTGTAAAATCACCGGAACAAAGTGCAGACTGCATTTTAAAAATTAAAAAAATATATAATAATGTTGTAGTAGAAGCTGGAAACCGTAGTTTATTTTTGTAATTCGAATTAAATTACTAGAAAATGATGTTTATTGTTACTCCCTGCACCACCACAAGCTTAGCTTAAAGGTGTAGGTAATTTTTTTTTTATTATTTCTAAATACTTTGTATAATTTGTGTTTTTCAAATAATAAAAAAAAAATCTTTCAATTCAATTCAAAAAAAAAATTCTAATTTATAATCCAATAATTAATGTAACCGGGAATGTAACTATTAAATTCATCATTGAATGATTATTCAGAGATCACTTTGGGATAAATGCCAAACATATAAATGTAAATCAAATTTAGTTTAATTAAAAAACATTTTGTGAAAGGAACAAGATTACTGCTAATATTTAAGTCTTAATTATTATTAACAAATAAATACAAATAATAGATATTTCAATAGCTTTTTACCATCAACATTCAGTGTAAATAATTTCTGATTGACTTATATATTATATGTAAAAATCTTCTATAAAATAATTATTCGTATACAAAAATCCTAACAATTAAATGCAAGGATCTCATAAATTGATCTTACAACATCCTTTAAACATCAAAACTACATTTGTAAATCATTTATACACTATCTACACCTACCAAATAAAAATTGTACAACATTTTAGTTCCCTGTTATGGTGTAGCTACTAATGCAAACAATAAATTATTATTCGAAAACACAATTTCGTATACCTATTATTATTTACTAAATACCTACAACTAAACTAAAAACAATTATATGATTACTTCTGAGTGCCTATAATATAATATTATATATGAAAATTGATTCCTTATAAGTTATTATGAATACTAATCGTTCACACAGACCACAAGAAAAAATCATTTTAAAAATTTAAAAATTGAAGAACACATCGTTGTAAAATGAATTCAGTCATCGATCCGCTCAGAATCTAAAATCTAAAATATATCCGATAAATTTAAAATTAACATATATCATTATTATTATAATTTCTTATTCAGCAGTAAATTTGATTTAAAAAAGTAGGTTATAGTCATTTTTGCCCAAAAAATTACATTTAAAAGTGTCATAGTGTATTCGTGTATATAAATTATAATAATATACTCTATTTATAGTATATATTTGTCATTTGTGATGTCTATAAACTTGTGGACTAATTAGTTTGGTTAAATTTAGTATGCGATAAATAACTGAAATAGAAAACAAGAATACATTGTAGACCACAAAGATTTCTGTAAAAGAACACGTACACGGTGTATCAATAGACCGTGTATGTGTGTTGAGTGTAGAAGTTCTATGGATTTATTATATTAAAAAATATATTTTATATCATCTATGGCAATTGCCAGTTGTCGTCTGCGACTATTAACAATTCTAATAAT